TTTTTGCGCTTGAGTATTTGTAGCTATGGGACCTGAACACTCTGTATGCTAGCTATTTAAAAGAAGGAAAACCATGTGGGAGTTTGTACATGGAAACAGTGTTCCCTCTAAGCTTAGTGTGAGCTTTCTCACTTTTTTTAGCCTCCGGCTCACGCATTTTTGTCTTTGCTCCGGGAGGATGGCTCCAGAGCAAACTAATTTATGCGGCAGCCAAATCACTCGCTCACAGCTTTAATACCAGTAGCTCACAGAGTAGAATTTCTGCTCACAAGACTCCACAGCTCAGAGTGGAAATCCCGGTATCATGTCGATGTTGGCCTTGAGTCATCTCTGCTGCCCCCCTCATGGGCTTTGGGTGAAAATAGTTGCCTCCAGTGTTCCCTCTAAGCTGAGTTAGGCTGAGCCAGCTCACCATTTTTTAGCCTCCAGCTCACACATTTTTGTCTTTGCTTAGGAAGGACAGCTCCAGAGCATATTCATTTATGCAGAAGCCAAATCGCTTGCCCACAACTTTAATGCCAGGAGCTCACAAAGTAGAATTTTTGCTCACAAGACTTCACAGCTTAGAGGGAGCATTGGTTGCCTCCTGACCTGGATGGCTCAGGTTAGCTTCGTCTTCTCAGAACCTAAGCAGGGTTAGCTCTGGTTGGTCTCTGGAGAGGAGACCACCAAGGGATTCCAGGGTTGTGATGCAGAGACAGGCAATGGCAAACCGCCTCTGAACAGCTCTTGCCTAGAAAAACCTGTGAGGTCAACAGATGTTGGCTGTGACTTGCTGGTACTTTCCACCATCACAGTTGCATCTTCCTCAAGAGTAGGGGCCCTAGCACGGCTTTTGTTTGGTGTAGTGGCTAGGAGTGAGGACTCTAATCTGGGAGAACCGGGTTTGATTCCCCACTTCTCTATATGCAGCTGCTGGTGTGACCTTGGGTCAGTCACACGTTCTCTCAGAGCTGCTCTCTCAAGAGCTGCTCTTAGCTCCACCTACCTCACAGGGTGTCTGTTGTGAGGAGGGGAAGGGAAAGGAGACTGTAAGTTGCTCTGAGGCCCCTTTGGGTAGTGAAGGGCAGGGTATAAATCCAATCTCCTCCTCCTCTTCTTTTCTGGCTATGAATGGTAACAAGAAATTAGCAGCTTGTTCTGGTTGACTTGGAAGGGATACAGCTAGCTACCCCCACCACAGGGTTAATAGGCACGGGGAATCTTACGTCAATGTCTCTGATGTGCAATCTCTTTCACTGTCTGCTCAAAGTGCACTTGTGCTACAGAAGTGTTACTACTGCATTTGTGGTGCTGCTTGGACCATAGAAGTACCAACCACTGCATCAAGTGCTTTGTTTTTGTCTTGTGGGCTGCATCCACACAGAACTTGCTGCATGATATTCGGTCATTTGTATTTGGGTTGGCATGTTCACACAGTTGCAAGCCATCACTATAGCACAATATCCAATGATGGCCGGGTGTAGCCTACATACAGGGATGTGGGTAGCTTATACATAAGAACATAAGAGAAGCCAATGTTGGATCAGACCAATGGCCCATCCGGTCGAACACTCTGTCACACAGTGGCCAAAAATACCAGGTGCCATCAGGAGGTCCAGCAGTGGGGCCAGGACACTAGGAGCCCTCCCACTGTTGCCCCCCCCAAAGCACCAAGGATACAGAGCATCACTTGCCCCAGCCTGAGAGTTCCTATCTATACCTTGTGGCTAATAGCCACTGATGGACCTCTGCTCCATGTGCTTATCTAATTGCCTCTTGAAGCCATCCATGCTTGTAGCCGCCACCACCTCCTGTGGCAGCTCTATGTCTGTGTGGTGCCAAAAGGCTGCACTTGAGAGATCTGCAGCATAATGATGCCTTCTGCTGGTCCTGCAAACATTGTGCATCTGCTTCCATTGTCTGCCTTGGCTTGGGGGCCATCAAGCTGCTTCTGACTTATGGTGACCCGATGAATTAATGACCTCCAGAGCATCCTATCCTTCACAGCCCTGCTCGGGTCTTGTGAACGGAGGGCCCTCATGGCTTCCTTGATGGAGTCAGTCCATCTCACGTTAAGAAGAGCAAGAGTCCAGTAGCACCGTCAAACTTTGTTGCGGGGTATGAGGCTTCATGAGTCACTGCTCACTTCTTGAAGAAGTGAGCAGTGACTCACGGGAGCTCCTAAGCGGCCACAAGTTTTGTTAGTCTTTAAGGAGCTCCTGGATTCTTGCTCTTTTCTATTGCTACAGACAGACTAAGATGGCTACTTGTCTTGACCCATCTCATGTTGGGTCTCCCTCTTTTCCTGCTGCCTTCAACTTTTCCTAGCATTATTGTCTTTTCCAGTGAGTCTTGTCTTCTCATGCTGTGACCAAGTATGATAGCCTCAGTTTAGTCATTTTTAGCTTCTAGGGAGAGTTCAGGCTTGATTTGGTCAGGAACCCATTTACCTGTCTTCATGGCAGTCCTCGGTATCTATACAATTCTCCAACATCACATTTTATAGATTTTTGTCCTGCCCACTACTTTCATTGTCCAGCTTTCACATCCATATATAGTAATGGGGAATAGTAAAGGTAAAGGTTCCCTTGCTCGAAAGCCAGTCGAATCCGACTCTAGGGTTGCGGTGCTCATCTCAGTTTCAAAGCGCTGTCCGAAGACGTTTCCGCGGTCATGTGGCCGGCATGACTAAACACCAAGGCACACGGAACGCTGTTACCTTCCCACTGAAGTGGTACCTATTTATCTACTTGCAATTTCTTGCTTTCGAACTGCTAGGCTGGCGCCGGCCACATGACCACGGAAACGTATTCGGACAGCGCTGGCTCTTCGGCTTTGAAACGGAGATGAGCACTGCAACCCTAGAGTCGGATTCGACTGGCTTTCGAGCAAGGGAACCTTTACCTTTACCTAAGGTAGAGAAAAGCAGGGTCTACCTCCTCCTCCTCCTCCTCCTCCTCCTGCCAGTAACTATCCATGGGTGAATTAACTATCCGCATAGGAAGGGGAAACACTTCTCATCCCTGAGGGGTGTAGCACTAAGTTTCCCATTATCCTTTGTGTGGGCTGAGATGTCCTCAAAGCCATGCCTCACTAGAAAACAGGAGCATTGTGGATGGCCAATGGATATTGGTATTTCCTGTTCCCAAAATGCAGGTAAATTTCCCTTCCAGAGTGAAACAGCCCTAGATTCTTTGAGGAAAAAGCTGGAGTAGTTGTGTAACCCTCTTGCTTACCAAGCTAGCTGATCAAACTGGGAATTAAGAGCAAGAGCTGAAGCACCCAGCATTCACCCATCCCGATCTTGGCTATCTTGGCATGAGTGGCTGAGGAAATCCTCCGCCTTATGACTGTGACGTGTAGATACTGACTGACGCTGCAGAGCTGCTGAATGGCTCACTGAGCCAGGATGTGAAGTCGATGTTTGTTTGGGACACACTGAACAGATAAGCAGTAGCACAGTGCAAATGCTTCCAGTTGCCCTACTGATCTCTATAGCAAGCGCCATAAGTGGGGAGTTGCCCCAATATCTGGTGCTGCTTCTGTATTGCAACCTGAATTCTAGTAGGAGTAAAGGGAGGGTTGAAGTAAACCATGAGGCTATTCAACATGGAAATATGCATTTATATCCCTGCTCACTCTCTTCCCCAATGAATCAGTGTTCCATCTGGCCTAGGAGGTCTTCTTTGGCTAGTAGCAGCTCTCCAGTGGCTTGGATGTGAGGTCTCCTGTGATGCCTGAAAAAAGCCTTACCTAACAAGAGAACTAAATTGTGCCTTGATAGTTAAAAGGCATATGCGTGTAAGGCATCACCCATAGTGATAGTTAATAAGGCATATACATATAAGGCATATGTGCATAAGGATAGTGATAAGGCATATGCATATGTTGTTGTTCAGTCGCACAGTCGAGTCTGACTCTTCCCCATCACGCCAGGCCCTCCTGTCTTCTGTCATGCTCCAGAGTTTGCTTAATTTCATGTTCATTGCCTCGATAACACTGTCTAACCATCCCATCCTTTGCCGCCCCCTTCTTCTTTGACCTTCAGTCTTTCCCAGCATCAGGGTCTTCTCCAGTGAGTGCTCCTTTCTCATTTGGTGGCCAAAGGATTTGAGCTTCACCTTCTGTATCTGGCCTTCCAGGGAACAGTCAGGGTTGATTCCTTTTAGGATTGACTGATTTGATCTTCTTGCAGTCCATTATGCTCTGCAGAGACTAACTTACTGGCAATCCCTGACCCGAAAGACATCCAGCTGTCCTCAGCCAGAGCCAGGGCCTTTTTGGCTCTGGCCCCGACCTGGTGGAACTCTGCCGAATGACACCCGTGCCCAGCCGGGACCTAATGCACTTCCGCATGTTCCTCCAGGCCTATGATTGAGGACAGTGACAGTCTCTATCTTGCCTGGCAGCGGCCCCCCCTTCCTTTCCCTTTCCCACATAGGGTAACTGTATAACTTGATTATTCTTTAGCGCCATCTGAAATTGTTTTTGAATTGTTTTAGATTGCTTTGTTTTTAAACTTTTCTGCTGATCCACGACTGTGTTCTTATATTGTTGTTCACCGCCCTGAGCCTTGTGTGTGCAGGGGAGGGTGGTCTAAACGTATGATTTCTAAATAAGGAAAGAATCCCTCATGGGAGATGTGTTGTTGATTCTCGCTTAGTGGCCAGATATCTGGCAACGGTTATAGCCCAGTGCATTTAAAGAGCCACTTACTGGTTTGTTTTATCTGACTGTGTGCTGGGGTTGCCAGCTCCAGTTTGGGAAATTCCCAGAGATTTGGGCAGAGGGGAGGTTGGAGCCTAGGGAAAGGAAGGGACTGAACTTGGTATAATGCCACAGAGTCCACCCTCCAAAGCAGCCATTTCCTCCCGGGGAGCTGATCTCTTTTGCCTGGAGATCAGCTGTGATTACAGGGCCCCAGCTAGAAGATGGCAGGCCTGTATACTCCTGTTCATGAGAATGATTGAAAGAACAGTGATTGGATTGGATTCTCTGCTTATCTTGTCCCACTAAAGAATGTGCTTTCGAGAGTGACCAAGCTGCCTTTGGTGAGCAGCGCCTATGACATGGCTGCCTCCGCGTATGCCTCGACCAAAGAGAACCACCCCTACGTCAAGGCAGTCCTGGATTTGGCTGAGGAAGGCATCAAGCACCTCTCTGATGTGGCTGTAACCAGTGCTCAGCCCCTCCTGACGAAGCTCGAACCTCAGGGTGAGTAAGCTGGAGAGGGAATGCTGGCTGTAGGTGGTGACGGTCACTCAGGAATACGCCGAGGGTTGAGTAAACAAAGTATCTCCTGGAATCACAACTGATCTCCAAGACAGATTTCACACAAGAGCTGCGCTGTGGTCGCGCCTCCCTTTGGCCCGCTTCTATTGTTTAATTCCTATTCGAAGCCGCGCGGCCGCATTTTGACCCGTGGCATCGCTCGATTTTTCCAGCGGTTTCGTGATCTTCAAAAAACAGGATCATGAAACCGCGGGGCAAGTCAGGCAGAGCCATGGGTCAAAATGCAGCTGTGCTGCTTCGAGTGGGAAATGACCAATAGAAGCAGGGCAAAGGGAGGCGCGACCACGGCGCAGCTCAGGTGTGTGAAATCGGACCAAATGACAGAGATCAATTCCCCTGAAGAAGATAGATCCTGGCCCCACTGCTGGACCTCCTGATGGCACCCAGTATTTCTGGCCACTGTGTGACAGAGTGTTGGACTGGACGGGCCATTGGCCTGATCCAACATTGGCTTCTCTTGTGTTCTTATGTTATGATTACTTTATAGGGTGGACTCTGTGGCATATACCCTGCTGAGGCTCTGCCCCTCCTGAAACCCTGCCTTCCCAAGGCTCCACCCCCCAAAATCTCCAGGAATTCCCCAACCCGGAGGTGGGAGCCCTAGCTGGAACTCCTCCCAGTTCTGGTACACTGGGATGAATATAAAACATGAAATGGACTTCTATCCCACTTACCTGAGTTTGCTTGGTGAATCTTGAAGCGGGAAGAAAGAGACGAGCGTTCTGCTTTCCATAAACTTAAGTAGGGCGTGGCTAGAAGGTGATCTGGGAAAGGTTACTGATGTGATCCATGGCCATCAAGTGGCTTTGGCAGAACTTGCCAGAGAAGGGAAAATGGGGGTAGCCACAAATCATGGTTGGTGGTGGTAGGATCTGGTATTTAGTACTTGGATCCCAAGTTCAAAATATATATTGCTAAATGTAGTCTTTTTTGTAATTGTGTGCTTAAATTTAAGAAACTAATATGCTGCCCTTTTCTCCTCAAGATAAGATGTTACCCTTAATGGGTCCTAGCATTTTGTAGAAGCACATTGACTCCTTCTGAGTACAGTGCCTGTAAGCAAGACATTGCTACATTATCTAGCATAACACTCATTTCCTTTACTTTGCTGTACAAAGAATTCTGTGCCCCTTAAAGTTAAATTTTGCAATCTATACAAATGATCAGTTAAGCAAATTAGCCTGTGAATTCTAGAAGAATGATGATTTTGCTCATTGGAGGCTAAAGTAAGGACCCAGCCACTGACCACTGAAACAGGCTAGCTCTCCCCTGATCTCAAACAGCATTGTCCATGTCCTTTCCAGGCCTAGCTTGAGGATGGAGCTACAGTTTGTGCTTCAGTGAAACTTAGGCAGCAAACAAAAGGGAACACAGTGTACAGTGACAAAAGTTGCAAAATGCGAATCAGATTTTATCCTGTGGCCCTGAGTTATTGTATTCGGCAGCAGTGACTTTTCTTACCGTGCCTGAGACAGGAAATTCATCAGTGTTTGACCTTGCATTTATCTGATGAAGAGAGACATTGAAACAGAATGAATACCAGGTTCCTGTTGTGGATGTGATAATGGCTGTGATATTAAGGGGATGTGTGGGAATAGGTGGGAAAATAGTGGGAATGGATGCGAAAATAGTACATGTGGTAATATACTTATAAAACAGGTTTGTGCACATGTGCCTTACACAGGATGTCATTTAGACTCTTACTTTAGTGTGCATGCCATACTTTTGAATGTCTGTAATTTGTGTACAGTATGGTCATCATTAGCATTTTGCAACTTTGTGCACAGGGACTGTGTCATGATCCCATGTCCATACATCTGACTGTGCTTCATACAACTAGCAAGCCCTCGCAAGGATGGGTAAAGATGCAGGGAAATCTGCCTAAAATATGCTGCCATTTTCAGTAACTGAAATTTTTAGTCATTGTAGACAGAGTTAAGCAATATAATGTCTGTGTTCTACATGTTGTGGAACCTAAGAAAATGGAAAGGTTCGAATGGTGGGGTTGGAGGGAGATATTCTGAAGACGTTTGATTTTCCTGCATGAAGGAAAGATGGCTTTACATTTTTGTAGGCATGACAGTGCTTTCTGCAATGAAATTTGGTGGTCCAAGAATGTGTTAACTAGCCATGGAAGGATTAAAATAGTCTTTCTGGGATTCCAAAAAGAACCAGGTTAACTGTTAAGATGGTGGTCTGTTTCAATCCCAAGCAGTTAAAAAATGCAACATAGTATAAATCATAATGCATAAGCTGACTTGCATGGGGATCAACTCTTCGGGGGTTTTATAGCTCTTAAGGGATATGATCTAGGGGTGCTTGAGCTGCTGAAGGATCAGCTAGATGCATGCAATGTAGCGACTGCAGACCAAAAGAAAACTGCTCTCTAGTTTCACTGGCAGGTCAGTATGCTTCAATGGGCCTGGATAAACTGGAGGAGAAGCTGCCGATCCTTCATCAGACAGCTGACCAGGTAATTTACACTGACTCTCCGCCCCACCTTATTTAATTTGCAGTAGGGTTGCCAGCCCCCAGGTGGGAGTGGGGGATCCACTGATTTTGTGGGCTCCTATCCACCCCAACAGTATAACCTGGTGTGAAGTCCCCAACATGATGATGTCATGCAGTGACGCTCTGGTATTTTGGTACCCATAGTTTTACCTAAAATACCACAGTGTCGCTGTGCGACATCCCCAGCATGATGATGTCACTTCCATGTGACGAAAGTCTGTGGAGGACGTTGCACGCAGTGATATTGCCCCGCTGGCGACGAGGTAAGACCTGGCAACACTAATTTGCAAGCCTGTGTGGTCTAGTGTAAAATGGTGACAATTCACCAGGTTCTCAATGACTCCTTTTCAAGGACAAGCTTCCCTAGACATGTCTGCCAAAGAATCCTTGCCTAGTACCAGGTGTTGGTTTAGAACTTGCTTGTGCTCAGTGAATGGTGGTGGTGGTAGGGTGCTGCTTTAGGAATGAAGTCTGCATAAGGTTGCTTTCTGGAAATAAATAAAAGTCCTCTATTTTTAAGGAACTGCATACTAGGATAGGAAAGGAAGAACTGAGCATCCTAGCTCTCTTGTCAGAAGAACCCTACTGGATGGGGCCAGTGGTCCATCTAGTCCAGCTTCCTGTCTCACACAGTAGCCAATCAGTTGCTCTGGACGGCCAACAACAGGGCATAGAGGCCGAGGTCTTCCCCCAGTATTGGGATTCAGGGGTTAACTGCCTCTGAAAGTAGAAGTTCCCTTCAGTCACCATGGCTAGTAGCTAGTGATAGACCTCTCCTCCATGAATCTATCTAACCCCTTTTAAAGCCGTCCAGATCGGAAGCCCTACAAACTCTGGCAGTGAATTCCACATTTTAATCACTCTCTGTGTAAAGAAGTAGTTCCTTTTTGTCCATCCTGAATCTATTGTCATCAGCCTTACCTTAGTGTAAGGTTATCAGGTTAACTTAGAGTTCTAGTATTTTTGGGAGAGGGAGAACTCTCTCCACCCCATGCATAACTTTATAAGCCTCTATCGTGCCCCCCCCCACCCCGCCCCGTCACTCGTGCACTCCTATATAGGGTCTCTTTAGCCTTTCCTCGTAGGAAAGGTTCTCCACCCCCCTAATCATCTTGGTTGCTCTCTTCTTGCCCTGACGCTGGTTGGACAGTGAAGTAGGAAGAGATGGCTTCGGCAACAGAACGAAGTTTGAGTCCAGTGGCACCTTTAAGACCAACAAAGTTTAATTCTGGGTAAAAGTTTTTGTGTTCTTCAGATTCCCGAAGAAGTGTGTGTGTGCACACGAAAGCTTATACCCAGAATTAATCTTTGTTGATCTTAAAGGTGCCACTGGACTCGAACTTAGTTCTGTTGCTTCAGACCAACACAGCTGCCTGCTTGAATCTATTCTGAGAGCAGCGAGTTACCAAAACAAAGGAAATCCCTGAGAGAAAATCCCCGAGAGTAGCAAGCTGGGTCAACCAAGAGACTGCACCTGAGAAGATAGGTGTCTTTCTTCTATATCGTTCCTCTTGGCAAGTTTGCTAGCTCTACTGCCCCCTCTGGAGTACTGTGTACGCTTTCTTTTGCAGCACAGGAGGTAGTGAAATTGCCCTCTAAACCAGGGTGTCAAACTCATTTGTTAAGAGGGCCAGATCTGACATAAAGGAGATCTTGTTGGGCCGGGCCATGTGTGTCATAAAATGTAATGCCAGGTAGCGAAGATATAAAGAGGAGGAGGAGAAGAGGAGATTGGATTTATACCCCGCCCTTCACTACCCTAAGGTGTCTCAGAGTGGCTTACAGACTCCTTTCCCTTCCCCTCCCCACAACAGACACCCTGTGAAGTAGGTGGGGCTGAGAGAGCTCTTGACAGAAACTGCTCTTTTTCAAGGACAGCTCTTATCAGAACCTGGTTCTCCCAGATTAGAGTCCGTGCACTTAACCACTACACCAAACTGGCTCTCTCTTTATAAACTTTATAAAGGACACAACCACAAAGGTTTTTTTACTTAAAATAAAAACATGCTTAAAACATTAGCACTCTTGCAATATTTTGTTTATTTAGCAGTGTCTGATAACTGACACCTCTTGCTCTGAATTATT